TCTGCAGCGACACAGCACTCTTCAGGTGAGCGTCAGGAGCCAAAAAGCACGACCACCATCGACCGTGACTGCGCGCGGTTCTCATCCTACTCGCCCGCCATTGTTCTTCTTTCTCTCGACCCCGAGGCCACTTCTCCCTTCCCCTCCCCCGGCTCGCCTTTCCTCCCTCCTCCACGCCTCAGCGCACACGAGTTTGCCCTCCGCACATCCATGAGCCGCACCAGCCTCCACAAGAAGCGAGACGAGGCCGAGGGCCACTCAACGCCCGCAACGCTCCCAGACGACGACGCGACGCCCACCGCAGTGTCGATGAAGACGACCTTTTCGCGACAGGGTGCATCCCCGCCCGCCTCACCAGCCCCAAGCGGGCCCAGCACGCCCAAGATCACCATCCCCGAGCCCGAGCCGTCCCTCAGCGCGAGCGCGCTCGCGGACTCGCAGTCCAAATCCCTCACCTCCTCCCGCCCAGCCCCTCCCAGCCCCGCCCTCTCCCGCCGCACATCCGCCGCGCTCTCCCGCCGCTCCTCCGCAGCCCGCTCGCGCCGGCAGTCCAAGATCTCCCAAGCGCAGCACGAAAACGAGCCGTCCTCCTCTTCCACAACGACCGCGACGCCCGCGCAGAGCAAGCGGCGCTCGCTCGGCGTCAAGATCCGCGATTTCGCGTTCCCGGCGGGCGATCCGCGGCGCGTTGGCCGAGGTCCCGACGTGCCCAAGCCCAACCGCGCACGACACAACAGCAGCGCGTCCGACTCGTCGTCTGCCGGCTCGAGCGAGGGCGACGCACCCGACGACGTGCGCCCCGGGTGGGGCTCTTTCCGCTGGAACACCCTCAGCAGCCACTTCCTCTGGAGCGACGGCGGCGAGGCTTCCTCTGCCGATGCGGGCCCCTCGTGCACGGACTTTGAGCGCAACTTTGACGCGAGCTCGCCGACGGAGGAAGGCGACGACCCGTGTGCCCATTCCACGCCTCAGGATTTCGGCAGCGAGGACGACGGGACGTATCCCAGTGAGGACGGGCCGCTCGTGCCTGGTCTGTACCGCGCCCTGTTTGCGTTCGAGCCGGAGGGAACAGCGGAGATGGCGCTCGAGGAGGAGCAGGTGGTCAGAGTTGTAGCACGGGGAGGCGGGGTCGGGTGGGCCGTGGTCGTTCGCGAGGAGGGCGGCCATGCGCTCGTCCCCGAGAGTTATTTGGAGCTCGTACAGGTGGACCCGGTCGCGGCTGGTGCATAGAGGAGCGACTCGTTGGGATGCCTGGCGGCTGGCCGCATGGTGCAGGCGTTCACGCATGTTCAAATGGAGTTTACGTCGCGGAAAGAACCTTTTAAACGCGAAAGCCGTGTCTCTTGTAAGTCGTAGCGTCGCGTCCTTTCCTTGTGCCTGATCTGACCATGTCTGAACCCTTCAAAATTCCCCAGCGACGAACGCTGCATTCGCCCTTGCATCGCCTCTCCCTCTACTCCATAAAGGCCGGTGTTCGCGCGCAGATATCGGTCATGCATCATGCAGCGAACGTATCAGCTCGGCACTCACGATGCAACAGATCTGAGACTCACGAGTTGCGGTCACATATCCGAGGACGCTTATCGGTTCGTGCGGGGAGCTTCCCCTGCAAGCAGCGCTGGCTTCGACCTTCACACCGTGCATCTGGCATCGCACTGTGAGTACTCACTTTATGCACGCGAGTGATGACTTCGGTGCTCCCGATGCGGGCCGCAGCTTGACTTGATCCCAGTGGACGGGCTCTCCCTCTCGGTGCCCGATCTCCGAGATGGCAGCCAGCAAGCACTCTGTTAATGGCTCGCCATCGACCTGAATGACACAGGACTCAAGATCACTTGGCCGGCCCGCCCATCAACCACCATGGCATGCGATAGGCTGATGCCATCCGCCACCACCGTGCGTCATCTCCAATGCACCTGTCCGCGAGACAGATTTACGATGAGCTCGGACGTCTGGCGTCGACGCCAACACCAGACCATGCGGAGCTAGCCCAAATGAGCCGATGAGAAGATGACTGCGCGTAGAAACTGACGCGGGCACGATGGACACAGGATCGGGCGCACGTCTGGTCACAAGAGTGCGCCAGCTGACCGTGCTAGTCTGCCACTCCCCACGCATGTCTCCGTGCACGAAGCTCACGGCTGCGCTGGCGCGACCGCTGAGAACGATATTACGGGAACGTCTCAAGCAGTCCGCTTGTGAACTTGCACGTCGCGAAGAGCACACGAGATATCTGCACCATGCAAGATGGTGGCAGCTCCTCATCGACTCGCGACCTCACGGCTAGTCAACTGCTACCTCGGGTATTCTTTCAACGTCCCCGTCGCATCGTGTCCGGTCAGATGTGCGACCGTCGGTCGGCGTGGAGAGCATTGGTCGTGTTCATATATGTGAGAATTCAGGTGATCTGCGCATTTTCTCGATCTATTATAAAGTATTATGGTGTACATCGCTACATTATTGAATACAAAATTTAAGATGATGCAGCGGCTGGAAGGTCAACCGAGCTCGAGATACACGCGCAAACGTACGTATGGAAAACTGCAGGCGGGGCACGATACGTGCCTTGAGAGTAAAATTGCCGTTCAGCGGCAGCGTCCACGCACACACGCGACCAACGGACCTCCTCGCACGCACAGTGTCTGCCTTGGTAGAGCATACAACGTGGATGAGGGCACTGCGACGGTCAAAAGAGTGATGATGGCTGCTTACCACGTACATCAAATGTCCAGCACGATAAGGGCCACACACTAGGCCTGGCGGTACTGTACAAGATCAAAAGGCAGTCTAGATCGCGGAGGAGGTATGAACGACGAGGTACGAGCGCAGGCAGCCATTGCTGGCCATCTTCCCCGCACCCAGACTGGTCTGCATATGAGGAAGACGTCCCGCTAGCCTAGAGCATGCGACGTTCAATCTCAGAGACCCGTGCAGACCGTGGTCAGTAGAACAAGGTCTAGATGGACTGCACGGAGGTGATGAAGAATCTGGTGGACGTCTGATGCGGCAATGGTACCCACGAGAACCCTCTCCGGCGGTCTTCTTTGATAGAATTCATCCATGAAATGAAACATGCGGGAAGGCGAAAACGGTCTGGCCACTTTGACGGACAGACCACCGATGCCCGTCTTGTGTTATTCAAGGTCAGATCGGTGACATTAGAGCAATGAACCCTGCTTACGGTCTGCCGCGGAAATGGGGCCGAAGCACGAATCGTACACGACAGCGGTAAGCATGCCATGCATAAAGCTACAGTATCTCGTCCAGACCGAGCACTCCCTCTGTGATCGTCGCGGCGACATCGAGACTCTTGATATGCGGCAAATCTATCTCGAGGGAACGATGCTACGCGGCGGATTCTATCATGAACACGAGCTCATCATTATGAAAAAAACAACGCACCCTCGAACTCTCTTCCGCTTCCGCTCCTCCCACGATAATCATGTTGTATTCTGGCCAAGCGAGAAGCAGAGAATCGAGGTTGGAGAGGATGACCGGCATGAGGTTTCTCACTGAGTCAGTCTCATGGGAAGGCCCTACCGGGGCCGGGACATTGTAAGATGAGGACTGATGCGAACTTCTAAGTGGCCTAGATGCGTGCGAATGAACAGGAAGACGCCACAGAAGCTTACCGATAGAGAGAAAACCTGAGGCTAGCACGTAAACGAAGTGCACACCTTAGCACTTCGCCTTGACACGAGTAGGGGCCGAGATGCACTCAGAAGAACGAACTGTATTGAGAAGCCGACAGAGGGCTTCTATCCGTCGTCGCCGCAGTCAAGTGAGTTTGCGAGGTCTTCATGAAAAAAATTCCCTGTAAAGTGCGATTGAGAGATCAGCTGCGATCGCAGACATGCTCATCAACAGAACGGCAGATTACAGGCCGGTGTACCCACCCACTCCCTGGAGCACAGCTGTATACCTGCAGGTCCAACGGAGGATTCGAGACGTGAGGAACGTTTACATACCCCGATGACACGAGGCTAGCGGCGATCAAGATGAAGTCAAAATCAATGTGGCCGCTGTACGCCCACATTTCGATCGGCAGCTTCTGGTGCCAAACATGGCCGGTTGACCGAAGGTGAACCGATCCTGCACGGTGGCAATCGCGACATGTGCGAGAGAAGAACGTTGCGGCGGATCGGTGTGATGTGGCCCAGCGCGAATTTGATGAGAGAACGGCCTGGATGTCAGTTCAGTACGGTCTGTGAGCTTCCGCTTCGCTCGATCGCGGCGGTTCATACACGGTGAATGAACCGTTCGGCACACCTTCTCCCACACGAACTGCTCGCACGGCCGGCGACGGCGGTCGGACAATGTGGTCTGCAGCCGGTGAGCCCCATTATCCGTGCGAAATATACATTTATTCCTTTTCTCCTTACCCAAGCTCGTCTGACGAGCTTCTCATCTCCAGATATACAAAAGGCATCGCCTTCTGTCCTCCCACTTCTCCCCCCATAGCTGCTAGCCCTTCAATGTGTCTTCCTTCCGGCCTTCCTCTTTTCGCGCGGTGTGCCCTATGGTAAGAATCGTTTTGTCTAGACTGCTCAAGGGCGACTCACCTAACCGTGAATTCTAAGACTAGATAACGTGATCAGACGAATACCAGATACGTGAACCGTCGTCAATGAGCGTGTGCGCGCAGAACTGACCTGGCCTTTGAGCAGGAACGAAACGGCGATAGCCGCTCACAAACATCTCCGCGTCCAAGTCGCGTCGACTGCCACCGTTTGCGTTGGCAAAGTCACGCATGCGCGTCCAAGGCGCGTCCGAGGCGCCACTTTGACGGTACGCATTCCCACTTTCATCTCTCACCGCGCGTCGCCTCAGGCCTCATTTTTCATCCAAAAGTGGCCAAGTGCAAGAATCGACATCTTCCTCCGAGTCAGGCTCAAGCCCAGGCTGCTGTCAAATCAACGTGAGTGCATTTCAGATCAGACCGTCGGATTGCCGCTCACCACCCATGTCAAGTGGCACCTTCTGATGGATCAAGCTCGGTCGATATCGAACACGTTGCGCTGGATGCGCAACAACCTAGAGTGAATGCCAGGGAATGCGGACATCAAAGCCCACCTCGGACCTCTGTACCACATGCCAAATGCGAGACGCTCCCCTATATCGACCCACCATCCGCGGCATGTAACGGTCGGCCTCTGCGGCCTGCGAGTAGACCGTCGCAGCCTTCTGTTGTTCGCATATCGCTCGGAGTGCGCCAGAATAGGCCAGCTTGCAACCGAACGGCGATGGTCAGGCGTGATCACCAACCGGTCGCGAGACGGTAGAGAATGGATGGCGGGACGCGACAGCTCGCAGCTTCGAGCTCTCTCGTGCAGGCGACAGTCCTGTGCATGTCCTGGCGAAGGAGACTGCGTGAAACCATGGCTTCGGCACGTGGTAGGTCATCTCACCGTTTCTTTTGTGCACTTTCTCAATCATGCCGTTCGTAGGATCTTGATCGCCATGGTCGTGATCAGTGCCCCATGCCTTGCTTCGCAGTCCAAAGCCATGGACAGTATGAGGGCGACGAGCGCACGAGGGCCTGTCCAGCCCGAGTACCACGCGGGCGAGCGCGATCGACGGTCGCAACCGGTCATGGCCGTCTCTCGTCACGCGTCTTGTCAATTGCAGTATCCGCATAGCCAACCTCTCGCCTGCGTCTCTGTACACTCCGGGCATCCACACGTCTCGCGATATTGACGGCATCTTTGATGCGAGCATGGCAGTCGAGCGCAGAGACCGCCTTAGTCGACACTGTACACGCGATTAGGATGCGCGCTGCTCACCATTCGACACGTTTCCCGGCACTTGCTGTCCATCATGTCGAATCACGGTCCACGCTACGGTCCGTTTGCGTGAGCGGCGAACACATGCAACCCGGATAAGCGCAAACGACGGCTACAACGGCTCTGGCCATCTCGCACCGCGCACCTCGTCAATTGCTGTATCCGCATAGCCGACCTCTCACCTGCATCTCGATACGCTCCGTGCATCCACACGTCGACGGCATCCTCGACGCGAACAGAGAGATTGTGCGCAGAGACCGCCCTAGTCGACACGTATCCGCGAAGGATTGAGCAGCAAGTGATTGGCATGGCGTGGTGCTCACCGTTTCAAACGTTTCCCGGCACTTTCTATGCGTCGCGTCAACTCTCGGTCCACGGCGCGGCCCGTTTGCATCAGCGCGAGCGCAAGGCGCGGTCTTCGTCTTCTATCGCAGCGGCATGGCCCCGACGCGCGGTCTGGTTTCGGTACGAGGTGGCGCGCTCAACGGTTCGGCATTGACGCACTCGGCGTGGAGAGGCTGGTGAGGTACCGTCGGTGAGACGGTCGGGTCGTTCGTGAGGCGTCATCTTCCGATTGCAACGAGGAGAGCGGGGCTTGAACGACATGAGCGGGCTGGTACGGGCGAGGGCGAGTTGGATGGCAGAAGATGGATGGAAAGGAATGACAACGGGAGAGGCGGGCGAGCGGATCGTCGGCGATGGAGGGATTCAATGGCGGATTAGGGTCGCAGGGCGCAGGGATTGTATTGAGGTGTTCGAGGAGAAGGGAGGGACGGTGAGGACGTGTTGAAAGTAGCTGGAAACAAATGGAATAAAGTCAATGTGATTGAAACAAAAGCGGGCTTACCAGGCTTTGCGAATGAGCTGCAGCATTCGATGTGCCACTGTAGCCTGTGCTACGCCTCTCTACTCTGTGCACGGCGACATCTCCACGATACTGCACGGTCGTACCTCGCTGGATATAGGTGGCAGTCATGGCGGCTGCGCGTCTGCGGATAAACGCGTCCGAGACTGGACAGGCGGCGCGCGGATTGGATGGCTTGCAGGGGAACAGAGAGCGCGCGTCGGGACAGTACGCATGGTGGACGCAGGCAGGGGATGAGCGCAAGCAGGGAGACAGGCCAGGTGAGACGCGACAGGTGAGATGGTCGACGATGCGCGATGGGCGCCTGCATATGACGACGCGGACAGCCCTAAATCGCCGAGGAGACAGGGGAGACGGCCTGTGGGCGAGCTGTGAGCAGTGCGACGGGTGCTGCCAGGTTACTTGTGCGGGCGATGTGTAAATACATAATGAAGCTTTCGTTACCCAACTCGGCAG